CTGCTCCGGGGGCTCTCTCCGCAAGCTCAGGCCCGCCTTCTCTGCCCTCGGATTCCTCCACTCCGGAAAGACCACAGGCCCCGCCAACGCTCTGGAGTTTCTCGGCATCCGCCTCGACACACGCGCCATGGAGGCCTCCCTCCCGCTGGACAAGCTCGAACGCATCCGCGCTTTCTCCCGGTCTGCCTTGGCCTTCCCGTCACTTCGAGGCGTCCTTGCTCTCCCTCCTCGGGCATCTTCATTATGCCGTCCGTATCATTCCCCAAGGTCGTTCTTTTAATTCCAGACTCCTCTCCCTCGCCGGCTCCGTCTCCTCCCTCAATGACGCTGTCTGCCCGGACGCGGGGCGCCGCTCCGACCTGGCGTTCCGGTCCCGTCTGCAGAGCCGCTGGGATGGTGTATCTCTTTTTTTTACAGTGACATCATCCTGTCTCAGATGCCCCGCGGTTCTTCACGGACGCAGCCCCGTCCGTGGGTTTTGGGGGTTTTTCCAGGACCAGTGGTTCGCCGGGCCCCGGCCCGACGCTTTCCCTCGAAGCATCTTCTCCGCGCTCCACGAGATATATCCCGTGACCGTAGCCTGCGTGCTGCGGAACCATACGTGGCATAGGAAAAGGATTTCCGTGACGTGCGACAACCTCGACGTCATTGAAATAATTAACAGAGGTCGTTCATCCTCTCCCCAAATCACATCCTCCTTAGACGCATCACATGGCTCTCAGTCCTGAACAATTTATCATCACTACTCGTCACGTCCCTCGTCACCTAACTGTCTTGCTGACTCTCTCTCTCGCTTTAAATTCCAGGAGTTCTGACGCCTCTGCCCTTCTGCCAATCCATCGCCATGCCAGATCTCCTGCACGGAATCCCTCGCCCCGGCCTAGTCCCTCCGTCTCTTCACCTTCTCTCCTCCGCTGCATCCTACATGAAAATGGGCTTCTTACGCATAAGCGAATTCACAAACTCTCACGCCACCTTTAATGCATCCCGAGACATTGCCTTCTCTGACCTGTCATATTATCCCGACTACTTCAACCTCCACCTCAAGCATTCCAAACGCAAAGGCGCTTGCAATATAGTCATAGCTCGTTCTGACACTTCTCCCTGTCCCTACAGATCCATGATGCATTACACTCGCCTCCGCTCTCGGAAAGGAGATCTCTTACTCCCGATAACCTCCCAACGTCATCCAACTGGTTCAGAGCCCAACTCAAGTCCGTACTGCTGCTTCGTAACCTGTCTCCCCATCTCTACACAGCCCACTCCTTCCGGACAGGCGCCGCCACGCGCGCCGCGTCCCTGGGGCTCCCCCATTCCGCCCTCCAGCAGCTGGGCCGCTGGTCATCATCGGCCCTCTCCTCATACATCAGGCCTGACACTTCGACCATTCTGGCAGCCCAGCGGCTTTTGGCATCTCCATAAAACACTCGCTAAACTTCCTGGTGGCGGCAGCAGCTGAGTATCCGCAAGTGATGGTCACAGTAGATAGCGGTCACAGTATATAGCGATAGCGGTCGCAGTATATAGCGATAGCGGTCACAGTATATAGCGATAGCGGTCACAATATATAGCGATAGCGGTCACAGCATAGAGCAGTCTCGACGTTCCGTCCCCTCCAAACCAGGCTGCAAAACTCCATCAACTCACAGCCTTTTTGGGGATTGGCGCGCTCCATCGCAGGAGCCTCTCCGATCTGAAGGCCGCACCGGGCCCTAGGGCGCCAAACCTCCTCCTAATAAAATACTCAAAAGCTTCTTGTTTTCTCGTCTCTCCAAATTGAAATGCAGCCCGCGGAAATTCAATTTGGTAGACGTCAGCCAAAGTTACCCCCTCCAGGCCGGTTCACATCCCCAGCCTATCGCACAGCAAACGCCCCCTTCCAATCACCGTACCGGCCAGGCAGCCGCTTAAAAGCGGAGAAACTCCCACTCTCGGCCTTCTCGAAGCCTTGCAACCACCGCCTCCCCTCCTCCTCCTCTTCACCCTGCCTCCAATCTGCCTTCAATCTGCTTCCCGCTGCCAAATGCCGCCACCAGTGCCTAGGTCCCGGGGGATTGGGCGCGCTCCATCGCAGGAGCCTCTCCGATCTGAAGGCCGCACCGGGGCCTAGGGCGCCAAACCTCCTCCCAATAAAATACTCAAAAGCTTCTTGTTTTCTCGTCTCTCTTCATCTCTGTGTGGACAACTGTTTTTCCAGACAGAAAAGAGAAAAAAAAGACATTTCCACCTTCACGACTACCCTCTGTCAGCCCTGAGCGTCAAATAGTGACTCCCAGGGCTGTTTCTCACATTTCTGCAAAAGATAATATATTTTCTAGTAAGATGAAGACAGTTTATTGATGTGTCTGACTAACTTTTACAAAACTCCTTCAGTTTGGACCAACAACATACATCATTTATGAAGAAATAATAAGGTTTGGTTCCTCAGCTGTGATAAACAAGGAAGGAGAGATGACAAGAACAAGTAATGCTTCCATCTCGCGGTCGAAGAGGGGAGAAGAAACGTAAGTTACATACTGCTAAATGTAGATCCGAGTCTGGGATGTCAAAATCAAACTGACACGCACTTGTAAAGAACTCATTTGGAAGCAATAATTTTGTTTTAAAAGGCAGGAGACAGCTCTGTCCACGACATCAACAACTTTTGTATTGCCATTGTGAGTAACAGGAAGTCACAAACTAGGAAATTGCTTTAGCTTCCGGTGCAAACAAGTTATAAAAGTAAAAATCCACAACATTTGTTAAAATCACCACAAGTGCACTAAGTAAACGTCAAATTTGAAGAAAGAGAATTTTAACGGATGGGCCGGATGGAACAAAAACATTGCAAACATCTTCCCACAGAATATGTTTATTAGTCTCGCACAGTTTTTCCAATGTGGTTTTACTGCAAATTCCAAATCAATTCTTGAATCTTGCACAATGAGTATTTTTTTTATGACCTCAATGCAACGAGGTCCACGACGCACATGACTCAAACTGTGGCTGCGTACGTTTATGCAGCCTACAAAAAGAACACATGAAAAGCCGAGAGTGCCTGTCCCTGATGCGGCCATTGTGTCCGTGTTGCTCAAGTATGTTGTTTTTCTTGCAGCTCAATGACAATTTGCGTACTTCCATTCCAAGGCAATACATTTCAATGCCAGGAATCTTCATAAGAAGTCAAGTCCCATAGAATGTCTTTTCAACGAACGCACCAGGAGTAGTCACAGACAGTATGTTAAAGGTGGTCTGTCTCCATTGAGGCTGATAGAATGAGGATATTATGTGTATTAGAATTAAAATTAAATGGCAAGGTTATAAAATGAGGCTTGTTGAGATGCAATAATCATAATAATTAAATCAGACGCTTGTTGTCTCTATGTATGTGTGTGTTATGTGTGTGTGTCTGTGTGTGCGTGTTTGTGGATATGTCTTTCAATGTGTGTGACCCCACATGGAAAGGCCCCTGTCTGGTGCACACTGGGGTAAGTCTTGCACAGTTTTTCCAATATGGTTTTACTGCAAATGGCAAATAAGTTATTGTTTCTTGTATCTATCTTGTGTGTGTGTGTCTGTATGTGTGTGTATTGTAGACAGTTCATGAATTAGTTGCCTTTTAGAAATAAATGGCCGTTCTGATTCCCACCCTCCATGGACCCAGCTCTGGCCTCTGGAACGACCTCCTGACTGGATCTCGAGCCGTTCAGCCTTTCTGAAAAACTACAGACCACTAACCCTTGGATACAAAGACATGGCTGCTCAAACTCAACACTAAACGCACACATTCATGAGCGCCTACACCAGACATCCTCTCTCCACACGCAACAAACATGACATCAGATGCATCAAAACACATCATAAATAGCAATCGATTATTTTGTAGACTTTAGTCCCGTTTCCACCAGCCCTACTTGGCCCTACTCTACTCTACTTGGCTCTACTCAACCCTGGTTGGGAGCGTTTCCATGCGGCCCTGTTTAACCGGTACCACATACTTTTATAGTACCTGTTTGGCCCTGGTTCTATCCAGGCCGAGCTGGTACTAAAGTGTTCTGACTGACAGGGATTGGTCAAAGAGTGCTGCTGGAAGCCATGGTTACCGCAGCACTTCCCTAGATACTGGTTTGTTGTGGGTAGGTTGCTAGGATACGGTACCAGATACTCAAGTACAATGGAAATGACAATTACTAGATTGATCCAAAGCTGTTTTGCAAAAGATCCTTCTTCTATCAAGTGGAAGATTATGTTTGATACTTGGACTGCAGAATTTGGGTCACGCCAAAATTACACCCAGATTATAGATACCCTAATGTGGACCCTCCAATATCTTGCAATGGATTTTCCCCCAAATGTGCCTTCAATTGTATCCATTTTAATTCTCAAGTCAGGCTTCTAATAAAACTAAAAATGTTCGTGTTAGTTTCTCACGCCTCAAGCATCTCCTAAAATCCCCCTGACCCCAAGATGGTGGATACCTATTCGACACTCACCATATCCACAGACACATTAAATATACCCAATAAGCCCCCCCCTTTTATAGTACCCCCCATTACCTCAGAAATACAGAGTTAAACCATTGCCGTTTTGCGCACAAACACTTCATTACGCTCCGTACCCAAACACACCTCTAATCACGGCATTACCTTAATTAACGACACACTGTTGTATATTTCGAACAAGATGCGCATTACCCCATAACTCCATATATACTGCTGTCCCCACTTAACCATACCGCCTTATAATGTCTGTCACATGCCACGCCCGAACAGTCATACTTTACCCCACCCTATCCAACACCCCTGGCCCCCATAACCAATGTGCCCCCTCCCTTGAACTGTACTCTACTTTACTACCGAAAGTCATAATTTTTCTATCCCGATCAGCCACCCTTTTCCGCACAAAAGCGCCTTAGTATTCCCCTGTCCCGCATGAAACCACTATCCCGAATATGATGCAGCATCCCCCCACCCCCATACCCTACCCCCCCCCCAACCCACCCCCAACTTAAAGTATAAAATTCAGCAGCCTGCAGACTTACAGCGGCTAGACACCTGCTCATCACCCCCGGCCCATGCCCCGAACCACCAAGTTCCGGTCACAACCCCGTGTCGCTCAGAAAAGTTCCCCTGTATCTCCAGCACCACAGCAGAAGTCACCTATCCCCCGAAAGAATTATATTATTTAGGATTGGCGACAGATGTCGTCCCCCTCCACCGAACATCCACTAACTGGCAAACACCCCCACCATCCATCATATCCCAAAATAGTACGAAGCGTATATAATATTACTACATGGCTGTCATATACGCAACATATTAATTAACCATAATCACAAGTGTATGCACAGAACCTAAATATGAACACCCCCAACCCAACCTCCACATCCCCCCCCCCCCTCCGTCCTGACCAAATTTACCCTGTAACCTCACCCAGTCCCATCACCATGCTAACCCATGCCCATCGCATGGGAATAGGTATTATACACACGTCCAAATTTTTTATATAGCATAAAATCATCTAACACACCTATCATACCACTTCAAGAATCCCCAACACCGAAGGATCCTACTCAAATGTCATCCACTCAGTACACCATGATAGATAAATGCCCATAACGTTGCCCACATCATATACATCTGCACCTGTACCACATCCGTTTTCTAACCTCATTGGTTACCCAACCAAATACCAAACCACAAACAACTACAACCCCCCCCCCACACACTACTCCCATATACCCCCCCCACTCCCCCCCCACCTTCCCCATAATAACCACAACAACCCATCCCTAAAGCAACTTTGTCATACATGCGGTAAAACCATCTCAATTTCTACCCACAAAATTCCCAAACCCCCTTCCCCCCCAATCAATTTCATCGTTGCGTAGAAGACCAACAAGACCCCCCTAATACTTCATGTGCCCCCTAGCTTACACCCTCTTTGCCATATTGTTCTATTGCACTGTAATTTTGCACACCGCCTTTTATAACCCCCTACACCCTCTCCCATTGGCATGCCGGTTTACCCATTACCACCCACGTCACTGCTCCCCCCCCCCCATAACCCCGCCAACCCCCCAAAAACCCCCCGATCTTACCTAAAATATACCCCCACATTATTATCTTTGCCTTTTGTCTTCGTATTTCACCTGACAACATCACTACCCAACTCAACACTCCCCCTAAGACTTAAGTCCACCAAGATTTGATAAACCCATCATAGATCTCCCACATCCGAACCATATCACCTCCAACGTTCACTTCATAAAATTCCATAACCCCAAATCCAACCCTCCACCAATCTTTTATGTACACCCCATGCATCATACCCCCTCTATCTACCCCCTCAACCCCCTATCCACCCCCCCACCTACAACCACATCTGATTAGGCCCCTCGTCCTCCCCCAATTCCGATGCACTAACTCACCTTAAAATCTACTTTTTTCCGACACCTTCTTCCCAACATGAATTCAATCCTACCAATCCCAGTCCCCTACATTAACTACTAATACTCCCCATTCAAATATCTATCACTTTAGTGATACTGCCCGAACTTAACCCCCCGAAACCCATATCCCCGGCAGATGTATAACCAGGCCAATTCACACAAAACCACACCAACGAAATAATTAAGAGCTCTACTCAATCCATAACCATTCAAAACCCCCCCAATACCTTCTTTTACCCACAAACCTACCACCATCTCCCACAACCACAACCCTGTGTACACCAACACTCACCCTTCCGTTTCCCACAATTCATCTTCCAAATATCCCCCCCCCCCCCACTTATCACTACCTTCCACCCCCCCATTCCCACACTACCCCAAACCCCCCCAATCCATACCAATATCCCCTCAAATATTTTCTTAAACTTAGTCAAAATTCGTCATTCCATAAAACCACAAATTAATGCAAACCATGCCCTCTCGTTCTTCCACAAACATTACATCACCAGTACATACTCCACATGAACTAATTCTATTACACTTTACCTAAACTAAACCCCCCCAGCGTTAAAAAACCACAACCAAGCTGCAGACAATAAAATAAACTATCCATTTCAAATTCTGCCTGCGCGCAACACTCCCCAAACCAACCCCATAATGTACATACAACAGTACACCAATCTTCCCATATCGTCGTCATTATACAGTTTTTGCACCAGTAATTAATTCAAGTACCCCCATATCACCCCCATTTGCCACAAATCGTCATTTAAAGTCCCCCCATAGATCTCCACCCCATACCCACACCAACATACCCCTCTGAAGAATCTAAAACCCCGACGTTCCACCTATCCCCCCCTCTCTTCCACCCACCCACTCCTCCCCCCCCCACCCCTATAAATCTCCCTGGACCCCCAATATGCCTCATTGCTCTTTGAAAATGCCCACAAGTACCATCCTAATATCCGTCAATTAAATACCACAAAAATGAACATCTCATAATAGGTACATCAGAAGAACAGCATATAAAAAAATAATCTTACAATTTTTGAATGGTACCCCATCTTCTATCACCGAGGTAAAAGAACGTAACCCCCCCCCCTCCCAAAGAACTACCAGCTTCGTGTACCGTGCATACCACATCAATAGCACATGTATCACATACACTTAAACGCACAAAAGACCAACCAATTACACCCCCCATGTCTTTCAAACAATACATTTAAATACAACAAAACAACTTCTACCGTCATTAACATACCCCCCCCATAAGGCCAATACCCCACCTCCAATACTGCATCCTATGACATAAACACAAGTGAAATTTGAAGTAATATACGACACATACCCCACTATAATTAGGTGCCACTACATACAACCGATGAAACAACACGCACATTCACATAAAACCTGGTACACACCCCTATAATACGAAAAGACCGCTCGCATACCAACATGCCCCCCAAGACCCTTCCCTCTAAGATCGTACCTTGCGCGATTTACACAGCCCGCGCCGCGAAACGCTCTTTCGATATGGCGTCCAAGTCTCCAACAACGCACACATCCAATACATAGACCTTAATACATCCCAGCTCACTCTCCAGATGCGCCTACATCATAGGCCAGAAACGACATATAATGCATTCTGATGTGAGATAGCCGTGCGGACAAGCGCTGTCCAAACAGTGTCCTATACCCACCTCATCATACACACCCACAAAGGCTAGATCAATGAGTCCAATCTCTAGAACATTATAGATTTCCGATCGGCCATGGGCCCCCCCCCACAGAGCAATTGTTGCGGCCCGCAGAATTGCTAAGTTTTTCGGGCATCGTTTTTGGACGTATCGAAATTAAGTTTTTCGCAAAACGGCAATGGAAACACTTATTTCGTGAGTAAGTGGGTGACAAAAAGGTGGGGCAAAAATGGTTGAAAAATATACAGGAGGTAATGGTGAGTTCTAAAAGAAATCCACCATCTATTTTGTCGTAAAATTCTATCAATATGCTTGAGAAACTACCACATTTTTATTTTTATTATAAGCCTGACAAGAGAATAAAATGATACAATTAAGCACATTTTTGGAAAATCAAGGCAAGATTTTGAGCCAAATTTGAAATATAATCTGTGGAATTTTTCTTCCAAAATCTGCAGTCCAAGTATCAAACATAATATTCCACTTGATAGAAGAAGGATCTTTTGCAAAACTTTGGATCAATCTAGTAATTGTCATTTCCATTGTACTTGAGTATCTGGTACCGTATCCTAGCAACCTACCCACAACAAACCAGTATCTAGGGAAGTGCTGCGGTAACATGGCTTCCATCAGCACTCTTTGACCAATCCCTGTCAGTCAGAACACTTTAGTACCAGCTCGGCCTGGATAGAACCAGGGCCTAACAGGTACTATAAAAGTATGTGGTAGCGGTTAAACAGGGCTGCATGGAAACGCTCCCAACCAGGGTTGAGTAGAGCCAAGTAGAGTAGAGTAGGGCCAAGAAGGGCTGGTGGAAACGGGGCTACAGTCTACAAAATAATCGATTGCTATTTATGCTGTGATTTGATGCATCTGATGTCATGTTTGTTGCGTGTGGAGAGAGGATGTCTGGTGTAGGCGCTCATGAATGTGTGCGTTTAGTGTTGAGTTTGAGCAGCCATGTCTTCGTATCCAAGGGTTAGTGGTCTGTAGTTTTTCAGAAAGGCTGAACGGCTCGAGATCCAGTCAGGAGGTCGTTCCAGAGGCCAGAGCTGGGTCCATGGAGGGTGGGAATCAGAACGGCCATTTATTTCTAAAAGGCAACTAATTCATGAACTGTCTACAATACACACACATACAGACACACACACACAAGATAGATACAAGAAACAATAACTTATTTGCCATTTGCAGTAAAACCATATTGGAAAAACTGTGCAAGACTTACCCCAGTGTGCACCAGACAGGGGCCTTTCCATGTGGGGTCACACACATTGAAAGACATATCCACAAACACGCACACACAGACACACACACATAACACACACATACATAGAGACAACAAGCGTCTGATTTAATTATTATGATTATTGCATCTCAACAAGCCTCATTTTATAACCTTGCCATTTAATTTTAATTTTAATACACATAATATCCTCATTCTATCAGCCTCAATGGAGACATACAACAGATTCAGACCACCTTTAACATACTGTCTGTGATTACTCCTGGTGCGTTCATTGAAAAGACATTCTATGGGACTTGACTTCTTATGAAGATTCCTGGCATTGAAATGTATTGCCTTGGAATGGAAGTATGCAAATTGTCATTGAGCTGCAAGAAAAACAACATACTTGAGCAACACGGACACAATGGCCGCATCAGGGACAGGCACTCTCTACTTTTCATGTGTTCTTTTTGTAGGCTGCATAAACGTACGCAGCCACAGTTTGAGTCATGTGCGTCGTGGACCTCGTTGCATTGAGGTCATAAAAAAAATACTCATTGTGCAAGATTCAAGAATTGATTTGGAATTTGCAGTAAAACCACATTGGAAAAACTGTGCGAGACTAATAAACATATTCTGTGGGAAGATGTTTGCAATGTTTTTGTTCCATCCGGCCCATCCGTCAAAATTCTCTTTCTTCAAATTTGACGTTTACTTAGTGCACTTGTGGTGATTTTAACAAATGTTGTGGATTTTTACTTTTATAACTTGTTTGCACCGGAAGCTAAAGCAATTTCCTAGTTTGTGACTTCCTGTTACTCACAATGGCAATACAAAAGTTGTTGATGTTGTGGACAGAGCTGTCTCCTGCCTTTTAAAACAAAATTATTGCTTACAAATGAGTTCTTTACAAGTGCGTGTCAGTTTGATTTTGACATCCCAGACTCGGATCTACATTTAGCAGTATGTAACTTACTTTCTTCTCCCCTCTTCGACCGCGAGATGGAAGCATTACTTGTTCTTGTCATCTCTCCTTCCTTGTTTATCACAGCTGAGGAACCAAACCTTATTATTTCTTCATAAATGATGTATGTTGTTGGTCCAAACTGAAGGAGTTTTGTAAAAGTTAGTCAGACACATCAATAAACTGTCTTCATCTTACTAGAAAATATATTATCTTTTGCAGAAATGTGAGAAACAGCCCTGGGAGTCACTATTTGACGCTCAGGGCTGACAGAGGGTAGTCGTGAAGGTGGAAATGTCTTTTTTTTCTCTTTTCTGTCTGGAAAAAGTTGTTTGAAATATCAGACAAAAATACATAAATACAGAAAGTAATCTTTATTTATATACCCGCTTTACAATTATTTACAAACCTCTTAACACTCTCACTCCAC